CCATAAGTGTTTGGACTGTGGGAAAAGTTTCAAGCGGAGATTAGACCTTGTTAATCATCAGGCAATCCATACAGGAGAGAGACCCCATAAATGCTTGGACTGTGGGAAAAGTTTCCTACAGAGGTCATACCTGGTTAAACATCAGGTAGTTCACTCAGGAGAGAAACCGCATAAGTGCTTGTACTGTGGTAAAAGTTTCATACAGAGGTCAGATCTTGCTAAACATCAGGCAATCCATACAGGAGAGAGACCCCATAAATGCTTGGACTGTGGGAAAAGTTTCCTACAGAGGTCATACCTGGTTAAACATCAGGTAGTTCACTCAGGAGAGAGACCCCATAAGTGCTTGGACTGTGGGAAAAGTTTCAAACGGAGGTCAGAGCTTGTTGAACATCAGGCAGTCCACACAGAAGAGAGACCGCATAAGTGCTTGGACTGTGGGAAAAGTTTCATACGGAGGTCAAAGCTTGTTAATCATCAGGCAATCCACACAGGAAAGAGATCCCACAAATGCTTGGGCTGTGGAAAAAGTTTCATACACAGGTCAAGCCTTATTAATCATCAGGCAATCCATACAGGAGAGAGACCCCATAAATGCTTGGACTGTGGGAAAAGTTTCCTACAGAGGTCATACTTTGTTAAACATCAGGTAGTTCACTCAGGAGAGAAACCGCATAAGTGCTTGTACTGTGGTAAAAGTTTCATACAGAGGTCAGATCTTGCTAAACATCAGGCAATCCATACAGGAGAGAGACCACATAAGTGCTTGGATTGTGGGAAAAGTTTCATACGGAGGTCAGACCTTGTTGAACATCAGGCAGTCCACACAGGAGAGAGACCCTATAAGTGCCTCGACTGTGGGAAAAGTTTCATACGGAAATCAGACCTTGTTAAACATCAGGTAGTTCACTCAGGAGAGAGACCCCATAAGTGCTTGGACTGTGGGAAAAGTTTCACACGGAGATCAGTCTTGATTAAACATCAGAGAATCCACACAGGAGAGAGACCCCATAAGTGCCTGGACTGTGGGAAAAATTTCAGAGAGAGATCACACCTCATTAAACATGGGAGAATCCACACAGTATCTAAACTTCTGTGACACGTGACAAGAAAGGGTTAAACAACTTAGGACTCTTTAATCCGATTTCTGTACTCCACCTCGACAAGTCGAGATCGCAATCCCGGGTTTAAGGTATTGTGGACACAATTCGACGTTATTGGCCTCCGGGAGCAATCCCAGAATGCTCCCTTGTGACCACTCTGGACAACACTCTCAACTCCAATGCACTAGCCAGGTGGGCAGGAAAAGCCCCGGGAACTTTTGAATTTCATTTCCTGTTTGGTCACCATCAGCACAGGTGACCATCAGCACAGTCCACCATCACAGGCGACCATGCAGAGTCCACCATCACAAGAGATCACAGAAAAAACGAACTTGGAACGACATGTTCACCGAGCTCATGGAGTCCTCCCGCACTGATAGGGTCCAGCTGAATGCATGGAGGCAAACAATTGTGGAGTGCCGTAAAGCATTACAGGAACTCGAAGAGAGGAGGGACGCGCGCGATGAGAGCAGGCAGGACGCTATGGTCAGGCTCATGGGGGAACAAACTGACATGCTCCGCTGTATGGTGGATCTAATGCAGGAAAGGCAGCTGACCACAGACTGCCGCTGCAGCCCCTGTATAACCGCCACCATCCTCCCCAAGTTCCATAGCCTCCTCACTCAGACGCCCAAGAACACGAGGTGGGAGGCTACGGGGACCCACACACTCAACCCCAGAGGATCGCCCAAACAGCAGAAAGCTGGCATATGCGAACTTTTGATTTGGTTTCTGGATTTGTCCTTCCCTCCTCCTCCACCCCCCTAACCCAATACCCCTCCCTCCCCTGGTCTACCTTCTGATTTCTCTCAATGTGTTCTACAACAAATAATAAAGAACATTTTTAAAACTATTTTGACTTTATTTCCTTTCATATATATATAGGGGGCGGGTAACTTCAAGAGAAACAAACACAACTGTCACACCGTACCCTGGCCAGTCATGAAACCGGCTTTCAAAGCTTCTCTGATGCAGGGCGCGCCCTGCTGCGCTCTTCTAATCGCCCTGTTGTCTGTGCGAAATTGGCTGCCAGGTGAGTTGCCTAAACCTCCCACCCTGCCATAAACGTCTCCACTTTAGTCTCACAGTTATTGTGGCGCACACAACAAGCAGCAATTACAATTGGAATATTGGTTGTGCTGAGATCTAACCGAGTCAGTAAACTGCGCCAGCGCGCTTTCAAACGTCCAAATGCACATTCTACCA